TTAGAGTAGTTTGGGTTATCATCAGCACAAACAGCTGTTGTGGATACCTTGGTTTTGGCTCGGAATCTGCTTAGCTTGGATGGCTTACAATCAGGTTCTCTATGAGAGATTTCAACGGCCAACGGTTATATAAAAGTTCCGGATATTCTTCGCTGGCTTCTGGTTACTCTGGGAATGAAGATTATGATGGTGAGCCCTAACATACAGGGTGTTTCCGAATAGTGGGATCAAACATATAGTACTTATTAAAATTAAAAAAATGTTAATAGAAAGATGGGTCCACAAATCCTTGCTTTGCGAGATACAGGATGTCAAAGTTTGAAAAAAAAATCTTTTTTTTTTAGCTCAAAAATCCCTTTCTCAGTGACGTGCAATTTATTTTTTTTACTTTTACCAACATAGTTGCCCTCTGGGGCATCAGTGGAATAATTACGGTAAATCTAATTGAGTCAAAAGTTACCTTTTCTTATTACAAACAAACCTGCCTAGTTTAAATAAAATCGGGAAAGGGATTTTGGAGCTAAAAAACGATCTTTTTTTTTCAAAACTTTGACACCCCGAATCTCGAAAACTAAGCTTTCGCGGACCCAAGTTTCTATTAACTTTTTTAAATTTTTTTAATGATTGTTTTTCTTAATTAAATTTAATTTATCCTAGAAGTTTGATCCCACTATTCAGGAACACCCTGTATGAGCGACTTTCTCCAATCCTTCCATATTTCTACAAACACGAATTTGATTTTACTGATTTTAGTGCGAATAAAGACGGAGAACTGAAATGGGGTGTTGGTAAAAACGGTCCCGAGATGTAGTGAAATCAAGAATTTATTACTTTATGCTCTTATCTGTAGATAAAAATCCTCCCGCATGCATATTAATGAGATCAATGAGGGTCACAGGTTCACCATTATCTTACCATGGACTGTTCTTACCGAGGATGGAATTAGTATTGATTGCTATTTCTTTCAGTTAAGAAGTGTCAAAATTAATGTTAAAGTGATATTAAGTCAAAAAGGGAAACAGTTACTTGTGGTACATACATAAGACATATCTGAGAGACCAGCCAAAATAATCCGACGTGTACTTCAAGAGGATCTCCCATCGACAATATCCACTCCAGATGTTAGAGTATAGTGTGAAGTCTGCGCCAAAAATTCTAGCTCCAATAATTTCCTGAATTAAACTCCGCGCAACGTTACACTTACCAAACACAATGCACACAATAGCCCAGTCGAAATAGGCTAATATTGGATTAATTAAATTTTGATTATTTTGACAGTTTTTCGAGAAGTGGGTTTACCCCAAATTTGGTATACATGTACACAACCCCTTACAGCACCCCATGTAAAAGCGGCATCAATGGGCAAACAAAAATTGTCCAGAAAAAATGGATAAGATATGAAAAATTAACAATTTATATTATAATTTTTTAAACATTGTTCCGACTTATGGATTTCCCCCAAATTTGGTATACATGTACACCACCCCTAACAGCACCCTACGTAAAAGCGCTATCGATGGTCAAACAAAATTATCCAGGAAAAATGGATAAGATATAAAAAAAATTACAATTTATATTATAATTTTTTAAACAGTGTTCCGACTAGTGGATTTTCCCCAAATTTGGTATACATGTACACCACCCCTAACAGCACCCTATGTGAAAGCGGCATCGATGGTCAAACAAAATCATCCAGTAAAATTGGATAAGATATAAAAAAATAGCATTTTATATTATAATTCTTTAAACAGTGTTCCGACAAGTGGATTTTCACCAAATTTGGTATGCATGTACACTACCACTAACAGCACCCTACGTGAAAGCGGCATTGATGGTCAAACAAAATTATTCAGGAAAAATGGATAAGATATAAAAGAAATTACAATTTATATCAAACAGTGTTCCGACAAGTGGATTTTCGCAAAATTTGTTATACATGTAAATTCCCCCTTGCAGCACCCTACGTGAAAGCGGCATCAATGGTCAAACAAAATTATCCAGGAAAAATGGATAAGATTTAAAAAAATCAGCAATTTATATTATAATTTTTCAAACAGTGTTCCGACAAGTGGATTTTCCCCAAATTTGATATACATGTACATTACCCCTAACAGCACCCTACGTGAAAGCAGCATCGATGGTCGAACAAAATTATCTAGGAAAAATGGATACGATTTAAAAAAAATCAACAATTTATATTATAATTTTTTGAACAGTGTTCCGACAAGTGGATTTTCCCCAAATTTGATATACATGTATATTACGTGGTGTACATGTATATACCAAATTTGGGGAAAATACACTTGTCGGAACACTGTTTAAAAAATTATAATATAAATTGTTAATTTTCCATATCCTATCCATTTTTCCTGGATAATTTTGTTTGACCATCGATGCCGCTTTTACATGGGGTGCTGTAAGGGGCTGTGTACATGTATACCAAATTTGGGGTAAATACACTTATCGGAATAATTAAAATTTAATTTATCCAATATTATCCTATTTCCACTGGGCTATTGTTTGCATTGTGTTTGGCTAGTGTAACGTTGCGCGGAGCTTGATTCAGGAAATTTTTGGAGCTAGAATTTTTGGCGCAGACTTCACACTACTAGATGTTACTTACATAAGGAGAAATTTGTATAACGCACGCAGGAAGTTGCAGCCAGCATTGCCTTAAGATATGGAAGAAACTTTCTTGGCTTTACGAAATATGGACATACGAACAAGCAAAGGTGAATCGTTTTTGTTTATTAGTAGCCGAGATGACAGCATACTTGTATTTTCATGTAAAACCAACATTTCTTTTTTGGAAAGAATTACACGAATATATTTAGATTGAACATTTAGCTATTGTCCCACATTTTTTCACCAATTGTTTACCATACCTGGTTTTTATAATGGCCACTACATTCCATTATTATTTTGTTTATTACCAGATAAGCGAACTGACACTTACAGTAGATTGTTTACGTCAATTATAAATGGTAGTCAAAATTTCGGTATTCAGTTAAATCTATCTGAAGTTGTAGTGGACTTTGAAAAAAGTATTCACAATGCTGTTGAAATTATTTGGCCGTTAGCAAAAACAATAGGGTTTAGATTCCGTTTGGCACAAGCAAGCTTAGTATATAGAAAGAAGAAAGATCCAAGAATATGGCTTAGTTCAAGATTATAGAGATCAGTCAAATGAAATTGGTTTGTGGCTACGATTAACATTCGCCTTAACTTTTATAAATCCAGATGAGGTTGGAGATTGTTTTGTGTTTGATCCACTATCTGTCTCGGTGTCTGATGAAAGGCTTCATAAATATGTTGATTATTTAACCGATAATTACATATCCGAAAATTCTTTATTTTTACCTAAACCTGGGGCAGAAAATTCTTCTTCACTTACTCGTACTATAAACGCATATGAATCATTTCATAGACGTTTTAATGACTCCTTTTGCAATACCCACCCAAATATTTTTGTCCTCGTTGAAAAGTTAAAAGAATTCCAAATGGAAATGTATGGTAAAATTCAAAGTGTGCATCTTCAACCTGTTATTCATAATAGCAAAGTAAAAAATAGACAAAAGTTTATTTATAAGATGATAAAAAAATATTGTCAAAAAGAAATTAGTCGAATGCAATTTATTTTATTTCATTTCATTGCGCTTTTTTAATGGATAATTATATGAAAACTTGTAAAAAAACTACATTACCTTTCCAACTTTTGAAAATGAAACATGTATTGAAAGCTCTGTTTATGTTTTTCATTTTTAATTATTAATCCTTATAAAGCAGGAAATCTTTTCTACCTGGATGTGGGAGGCTTTTTACATACATATCAGGTAGATGTGAAATGTTGGCACCTTTTTTACCTACTGACATTTCACCCTCATTGATACGGGACCCTTTTTACGTGTCTCCCTGAAATGTATGGCGTTTCAATTACTGATGATGACATTTTTCCCATACCTTGAATAATTCACCGGGTCTCTTGACGTACTTATGCCATCCCCAATATCAACGATAAGCCTAAGCTGCACAAGAATGACTATTATCGTTATCTTTCGCGATTTTTACATCAGTGATCTGCTTTCTGGGCACTGCAGTTCAGTATTTCTAAGCACAGCTCCAAGGTGACCAAGCCAAAAATTGTCTTTCGTGCAACGCAGATATTAGTCTTTTGAGGTATACATTAACCCAAACTCTCTTTAGGAGAATCTGCTCCAGCCAATTGATATACTATCTATCATCCTGTTCTTATTTAGGTACATCCTTTTCTGATCTACGTTCTGAATTTCCTAATTGTTCTTATGAAACCAACGCTAATATTTCCTTGAGATAAACCCTGTTGGCTCTTGACAGACTGATAGCATAGCTGTGGTTACCAGTACTGTTCAATATCGTCGAGATAGTCAGCAAAAAAACTCTTATTTCATAACAGCAAGGAGTTTGTTTGGAGTCTTCAGCTATGCTAGTTGCTGAATATTAAATCTGCGTTGGGGTTGAATTCTATACACTCTAATTTGAGAGTTTTATAATCCTAATCATGGCATCAGTTTCGCAGCGTTTAAAAATTATAAAAAAATTATCATGCAAATCGGTTGATCCATGAAGAGAACCATCGCGGAATTATTCAATTTTTGTTAATAGATAAGCAATTTTTAATTCGATGAATTGGATATTTTCACAACATTGACGAAGACCATAAAATAGTTCTAGACAATTTCAATGAAATAATAACCAATATTTCTCGGACTTTATTTGACGCATGACATTTAACTTCATTACCCAAACTATCAGTCTAGCGGTACAAAGGGACAATGCAGCTTAAGTACTTGGGACCCTTAGGTTAGGATATGGTTTGGATGAATTTTTTTTTTTTGTTTTTTGTTTTATATTTTGTTATTTTCTATTTTAGATATGAATATGAATAAATGTCACATGTTTAAAAAAATATATAATTTAATTAACACAAAAAACACAATTGGAAAAGTGATAATCCAACTTACTGGTTCTGAGCTGGTTCGGTTACATTTCCACCGAAGTCTATATCTGGCAGACTAGCATTCCTTTTCTCCAAAGACATTCCCTGTGGTCCCATAGTAAAACAGCCTATTTTAAAAGTGGCTGCTACGGCTTTCAATAACTTAGGCTCAAGAGCTAAACACCCCCTAAGACCGTCGTTGTATGGTAACAAATTCGAAAACCGGGCACAAATTACAGCGATGTTCGTTAGTAGGGCCATGCATGTCGCATCAGGATCAGGCCCCTTCACCTCCTGGCTATGCAAAAGAATTTCCCCATAGGATACGTTCATTTTCAGTCCTTCCTCCTGGGAGATGTATTTCATTTGTACACAACCTAAAGAGAAAAAAATATAAGAAATATTTTCTTTTGTTTTTGCGTTGAAACGTCTTTGAGTTCAATCTTCCGGAAAAATTTATTTAAAATGAAGAATAGAGCCATTTTTGGCTGGAAAATGTAAAAATTTCCCAAACCGGTTAATAAAGTCAAATTTTCAGTCCATCAGTGTGTATATTTCAGTAATTTTGTGTTGTGAAATTAAATTAGTTCATGGAATGTTTATTGCTAAAACATATTCAGCTTTTATCTTCAAGAGGTTTATAATGGAAGGTTCCGGGCCGGAGTTCAATAACTGTTATTTCGAGAAGGGCGCTTTCATTCTCTCATGTCAAAATGAAGAGACGAAAACTTGGGCAGAAACCGAGGCCCCCAAATTGAAGCTGTAGGAGGGCGCAGCACTAAAAGTAGGAGTGGCAAAACACCTAATACATACGGTCAGTGTTGATGGTGGCTTCCACAAACCTCCCCAACAAAAAGGCGGCATAAATCCTGCAGTGGTGAAAACCCAAAACGTAGGACTGAAAACTGATGACTGGCGTGTATTAAACCATGTCAAAGACAACAGTAATATCATGTCGGTTATGAACATCGAGGAAGAGAACCTGCGGACAAGACCAACATGAGAGCATGTGTGGGATTAGGTTAGGCTTTTTTTAGGGTTCTAGCTTCAGCCAGATAAACCTGCCACACAGCAGGGCAGGGTATGCGGCTCTGTGCCGCAGACTATCCGACGAGCCCATAACGGTGGCCCTGATCCAAGAACCGTGGATCGTCAGGGGACAAGTAAAAGGGCTTCGACTCGCAGGTGGTGAGTTGATATATATGACATAACATCTGATAATGTCCGAATGGACACAGAATGCATTTCCCTGCCCAATTTATGTTTTAGGGACCTAGCGACCGCCAAACTTGAATACAGAGAGAAGATGGGAATATGAATGAGGTCGTAATCGCCTCTGTATACTTTCCAAATGACTCGGACTTGCCGCCGCCTCCCGCAGAGCTCACCACTATTGTAGGATGCGTGGCCAACCGTCACCAGCTACTAGTGGGATGCGATGCAAATTCACACAACAGAGCAAGGGGCAGCACGAATGACAACCCTTGTGGCAACCTGCTGCTGGAATATCTGGTAAGTAACAGCCTCTCTGTTAAATAAGAGAAACAATTCTCCTTTCGCTACTGCGAGGCGTAGAGAGGTAATCGACGTAACCTTGGCTACAACCGCCATATACGACAAGGTTGACAAATGGCGAGTTTCAAATGAGCCCTCTGCATCTGACCAAAGGTACATAGAGTTCGAATTGTGCAACGTCGATAAAGCAGTGGCGACTGATCGTAATCTGAGCAACACAAACTGGCCTCAGCTCGAACAGGGCCTGATCGCCCTCAACGCCAACCCGAGAGAAACTACAGATATCGACTTATGTATGAACCGACTTCAAAGTGCTATCATAACCGCTTGTGAAGACAACTTAATATCAAAGAAACCAAGAAAGACCGTGATGGAACAGTCACTTAGCTAACCTGAGGACCAACAGTAGGAAACTATTCAACAGGGCGAAATTCATTGGCCACTGAGAAAGCTACGCCCGATCGCTAACCGAATATAACAAAGCCCTAAGAAAGGCTAAAATGGACTCCTGGAGAAGCTTTTGTGGAGAAGTGGAATCTACTTCGGAAACCGCACGTATTCACTGGCTTCTCAAGAAGGAAAATAACAACTGTGTCGCGGTAATCAGAAAACCGACAGGGGAATTCACGACAACTGATAAAGAGACGCCGGAGGCTCTTGCCCGAGTGCACTTTCCGGGATCAGGAATACAGCAACCGGAAGATCGCCTACCAGAACCAAACCTGCCGAACTCTTCTGCAGCAAGGACTAGACATACTGGGCCCACATCGTTGTAGTATCTTCCAAGCATGCATTGTCACGGGCTATGTGCCAGGAGCATGGAGGACAGCGAAAACAGTCTTTCTCCCAAAACCCGGACGGAAAACAAACATGGAAGCGAAATAATATCGACCTATCAGCGTTTCATGCTTCCTGCTGGAAACGCTGGAGGAACACATAGATAGGCACTTGAAAGACTTTCGCTTCTGCAATTACCCCTATGCAAAAAACAACATGCCTACTAACCAGGAAAATTAGGTGAGACAGCGGCTCACAACCTCGTTGCGAGGGTTGAAACCGCGATTCACAACACAGAAATAGCCTTTGTAGATATACAAGGTGTCTCTGATAACGCATCATTTGATGCGATGGTCCACCACCTGCAGATAGATACACAACATGCTTAAACACCGGCGAGTTAAAGTGAACAGATATGAAGACACCCTAGAAGCTAACGTTACTCGAGGATGCCCTCAAGGCGGCGGTCTATCGCCACTTCTATGGAACCTAGTAGGGGATGAGTTGCTCGTGCGTCTCAACTCACAGGGACTTACGCCCAAGGGTATGCAGACGATGTAGAAATACTTGTTCAAGAGAAACATCCCACGGTCATAGCAGAAGTTATCCAAACAGCCCTGTGAGCTGTACAATGCGAAGAAGCAAACCTCATGGTTAACGCCAGAAAGACCGCGACAGTACCTTTCACTGGACAAAGGAACAGGGGTGAATACAACCTGAGTATCTTCGGGGAAAGGATTATAATAGTTCACGAAGTGAAATAACTAGGTCTAATGGACGCCAAGTAAACCTGAAACGCACATCTAGAGAGAAACCTAACCAAAGCAAAAATATGTCTAGCTAGATGCAGAAGTTTGTTGGGAAAAACATGGGGTCTGAGACCAAGGATGATGCTATGGCCTTACGCCACAGTTATCAGGCCCATAGTTGTAAACGGACCTGCAATATTGTTGACAAAAGCGCAACAAGTAACGACGGTCAATAAACTGAACAGCCTTCAGAGGCTGGCATGTCTGTGCACCACCGGATCTATGAGAAGCACACCCACTGCAGCGCTGGAAGCAATTCTGGGGCTACCTTCCCTCAATCACAGATCACCTACATACAGATGCGTAAGTAAGGGATCTTGCCGTCGACTCAAAAGCTACGAAACCTCCCACTCCTTCTAAGGGGCCAGCCACTTGTCGAATAGTACGGGGGTCCGCGTCGGGTGAATTATCGCGGCCGATCATTTATAGTGCGTGAGCGTGTTCCAACCTGTCGTGACAAAGTATGCCGGGCAATAAGTGTGTTTATCTGCATTGTTCCGCCAAAAGCGGTGGACAAAAATCTCTTTTTCAGTTTCCAAAAATCTTGCAAGGTAAGAAAATTAACTCATAACAATTTTAACATCTATTACTATTTTTTAAAGTCATATATAATATTGATTTATTCATGCTAACTTTTCAGTTCAGGTCAGTTTGTATTGTATCTAACTATTATGTTTATTGGGTAATTCCACTTAGGCCCAATTAATTCATCTTCAGATAAACTTGCTGGTAACTATCTGCAACAGAAATTTAGCATTCTTTAATTCTATTGGTTGGCGGATATTTAGGTCTGAGATCTGGGCCAAAGGTGCTGGAAGAGAAGATCTTTTGCAAAAAAATATTACTTATTTTAAAATATATAAAGATCACTTCGAGAAAAAGTGGATGTCTGTTTCTGTAGCAGGAAAGAAACGGCTCTTTAATGTCGCTGTACCATCAATCTTTCAAGGCCCTAAACGGTCGTTTGATAATATTACTGAGGAATCACCTAGAAGACTTATTGTTCTATCAGGTTAGTACATACAAAAAAAAAATTATTGAGGTGTAGGCTTGTGGGCTGTTTGGGGTGAATAAATATTTACCTACGAGCGTGCAGTAAAATGCACTTTACCGCACTTATTTGCAAATGGAAAGTGGCACTTTACCGAACACTATGCGGTAAAGTTACTTTACCGCATAGTTTGCGGTAAAGTTAAATTTACAGCATAGGATGCGGTAAAGTGGACTGCAAGTGTGCGGTAAAGTTAACTTTACCGCATAGTATGCGGTAAAGTAGACTTTGGTGTTTAGGATTAAAAATCCTTTCTTTTTCAGAAAATGGATTTTTGATCATTTCTAAATCTAATCTAATTTCATTAATTAATCTGATTCACTAATTAATTTTATTAATGCCTTTTTTTAGAGATGTAGATGCTCATAGGTAAAATTTTGTGCCTAACACATGCGGAAAGTGCGTCTATCGCACTTAACGGCTTGACCGAACTTCGCTTCACGTGGTTCGGTCAACTGCCGTTGCGTGCGGTAAAGTATCACTTTCCGCATTTGTTAGGTAAATAACTATTACAAAATATAATGCAGAAATAGGTAGTAGTTTTCCTAATCAGTCCGCAAAGTAATGTTTTTCCGCACGCGAAAGCAGTTAGACAAACGACGCGAAGCGAAGTTCGGATAAGCTTCAAGTCCGGGAAAATTACTTTGCGCACGTGTTAGGAACAATATTTTTTCTATGAGTGAAATAACTATAAATGTTTTTTTATTTTTTTTTTTTAAACAACTTATATGTAGGTAAATCGGTCAAAAAAAAATAAAAAAATGTAGTTATTTCATTCGTAGAAAAATATTTTGTGCGAAAAGTAGTTTTCCCGCACTTAAAGCTTATCCGAATCGTCTAACTGCTTTTGCGGAAGGGAAAACGTAACTTTACGCACTGATTAGGAAAACTACTACTATTTTAATTACCTAATTAATTAGTATCTCTATGTGGTTTATTTTGCAGATATATCCATACCTCAGGCTGCTTCCAAAGATAATCTCGATAATATGGAGAACATGTCACATAAAACGCAAGGTATTTTTGTTATTTTTTAGGGATATTATATTCGATGTACATACCTAATGTAGCAACATTCCCTTAAAATCGCCAACTTCTTCCACACAAACGCCGGGAAATCTTTCCAAGAATACCCCTCGCGAAAGAAAATTAAAATATCAAGCTAGGTCACTGAAACGACATATTGCATTTATTAAAAAAAAGAACAAAAAAAATAAAATCCGAAAGACAAGAGCTGAACTGTTTTAGAAATTACTGCGATAAATTTCTAAATAAACCATTAGCAAAAATTATTAAAATTCAAGCTCTGTTAAA